AAATTTATTTGAAATTATTTTATAAGATAAAAAGAAATATTCAAGTTCACTTATATGTTACAACTCAATTACTATGAACATCATTATTTATTGACGAAAAAATAGGTAAAAATGTAAAAAAAAAAAATTTATAATTAAGGTTGCCATTCCAAAATTTAAGAGAGACTTACGAAGAGAGTATAATTATACCAAAATCTAAATGAGCGTATGTTATTAGCTTATTATTTATAAATTTGTAAACAAATATGAGAGACAAAAAAGAAAAGAAGAAAGAGAAACATACCACGAAATAGGAGATGAATAATATTGTGGACCGATTTTTTAAATTTTAAACTAAATTAATTTTTTTTTAATGTCAAATTTTACACAATCATTTAAAAAATTATTTTAAAAAAATATATAAACAAAAGATATGTGATATACATAATAATATAATTAATAAGAACTGATGGATAATTAATTTAAGTATTTTTTTTATAAAAAAAATAATTAATTAAACACAAAATTAAGATAGAGATTGAATCGAACGAAAAAATATATTTAACCACGTCATTTTATTTAAAGACAATATATATACTAAATATTTATTAAATTTAAATCAATAAAAAAATAATTAACAATGAAAAAATTACAAATCATCATTTGTTACGTTAATAATTTAAATCTCTTTTCATATTGTAATCAACAAAAAAAATAAAAAAATAATTAGTTTATACTATAAAGTCAACAGAATTAATAATTGAGAAGAATTTATAAAATAAAAAATAAAAAGAGAGGCAGATTTCTAATGCTTTTCCTTTTTTTTCTCATATAAACTAAAAAAGTAATCCAACGTCCAATCCATGTCCAACACGAGCGACCAAATAAATAATAAAAGCCCTCACACTAATTTTGTACCACTTTAATATACAATCTCCTTGTACACACACACACACACACTATTTTTGTACAACATTTATATACAATCTACATGTACCCACTAACACTACAACATATATATATATATATATATATAAAGGTACAGTTTCCATTACGCTTATTATTATCTGTAACAAAAATAATAAATCACCATCGTTATCCCCTTCCTAGGGTTCCTCTCTCTTTCTCTCTCTTCTTTCGTTTTAAGCCAAAGCATATTCGCTAAGAAACCAAAACCTTCCAGCCATGAAAAGTTTTGCCCAATTACCTGTACAGATCTTCGATAGAAGCCCTACAGATTTCATTTAAGGGGGTTTCTACTTGATGGGTTTCCGAATTTTTTTTTTGGATATATTAGAAACCGCTGAATTTTTTTGATTTCTAGCTTTTATTGGGCGCTTCTATTTAGAATTTTTACCTTCTGCCTGAATTTCAAAATTTTTAATCGTTAATTAGGGTTTTTTTTTCTTTGCTCTTTTAACTTCGCTTCGATTGTTCCTGGCGTCGATTGTTCTCGGTCTTACTGTAATTGAGAGGTGTATATATGATGGATGGGTTTGGGACTGGCAGTAGTAGTCAACAAACTCCCAGAATGGAGGATCTTAAGCAATTTGGAGATAACAATACAGGTTCGATTTTATTCTGTTTTCCCAGCTTTTATTCTTGATTCGATTTCTTCCAATGTGATTCCATTTGTCGATTTGTTGCTTTAATGGTGTTGTTAATTGGGATCTAGTTTTCTGGTAATATCTTGATTAGTCGACGAAAAAACTAGCTACTGTCATCCTACTGAGTTTTCTTTTCTCGTTTTTTCTGGGTCAATGATCAGTTTAAGCTTGACTGTAGCTATTCATCCCCGCATCTCCCAGCCCAAGAGAAAAAGGAAAATTGAAAAAAAAAAAGAAGAGAGAACTCGGCTATTGACTATGGAAATTTATGATATTTCGACATTTGAAGTTAATATAATTTTCTGGGTTTCGTAACGAAGTGAATGTAACAGTGAATCTTAAACAAGTTCTGTATTGTATTTTATATTTGAATGAGAAACTCTTATAGTTTACTTATGCCGTGGTGTAAATTCCAATACTATATTGGTTCAGTGTTTGCAGATGCATGTCAATTATTCATGGCATTTTAGCTTTGAGTATCCCATTTAATTCCCTGTGCATTTATGGAGTACATCTTTATCTGGTGCTTGGTTGGGTTGGCACTGCATTGTTAGTTGTATCTTTGAAAACTATTTTTCTTTGTATGCAGGAGGTGCCGTATTCGATGCATCCCAATATGCTTTCTTGGAAAAGACGTTGGTGAGGAAATTGAGTTGGGAGGCTTGGAGGATGAAGAGGATGACTTGCCTGCAGCTGGGCTAGATGAAGAAGAGTTCCTTTTTGATAGAGAAGAGGTTGAGTTTTGTCTTTTCTCTTCTTCAGGTTTTCTGTAATCTTGAAACATTCTGCAGTTGTTATTCTGAAGAACATAGAATATGTAATGTGGATAACATTGATTTTGGTCTTCTATTCTTTCTCTCTCTCGCTTTCTTTTTCTCCCTTGCCTCCACCATCTTCTCCTGCATTCCCTTTAAGCTTTTTTCATATCCTTGAGCTGGGTTCTTGCACTTTTCTATCTCTTTTCTTTATAATCAGGATTTGGTTACCTCATATAGCATACTAAAGAAAGAGTGGCATCATCACGTGCATGTAGGTTCAAAAACATTTGGTTTACATCCATGTATCTTCATTTTAACTCTATTTTTCTTCCTTTTTCTTCAACATGGAAGCATAATTTACTCTTGAGGATCTAAGATGAACATCATGCTTTACTCCAGCATGCACTTGCTTTTCCTTGAACATTCAATATTATGCTCCAATGTAAGATTCCTGTCTGATCAACGATGTTTTACATGACTTGTAAAGTTTCTTTTGGACTCCTAAGTGTGCATCAAGTTTACAATAGGTGTCACTTTCCAGTTGGTAGGTTGGTCAAGTGTCATGTGAACCTTCAGGATTCACTAGGTACTAGCTTTAGGGGCTGACATAGGTTCTCTAAGGTTTACCTTCGTAAAAAATGTGGCAAAAGGATCCATATTAATTTGGGTCATTTGAATTGATCTTGTAGTTTTTGGCAGAAGGTTGTTCTCTCTGATAAGAAGTTTAAATGAAGATTGGTCCATTAGGAATTGTAGGCAGTAAAAGTATAGTTATTTGAATTGCTTTCTGTCACTTTGAGCAAAATAACACAAATTTTGATTTGGTTCGCTGTTTGGAATCACCTTCATTCAACATGGGTCAGCAATTTCAGTCTTTAAGATGAGAGGCTTGGGGAAGAAAATGGGGAAGAAAATGAATTTTTTAGGGTGGGAACAGCCCTTTTTAAGATTTGAACCCAAGCACTCTCGAAGAGTGCTTGGTAGCATGCCCATTGGGCCATCGTGCCAAGGTCATAGGGAGTTTTAGAGTTAGAGAGATAATATTTGTTTCTATTTGGGGAACTATGACGAGCTAAGGTCTTACCATCTTATGGATTGGTATTCAGCAAAAAGATTATTGCTTTGGAGGATCTTGGCATAATTTTTCTGTTTGTTATGAACAATGCTTTGATACTTTCTTGACTTGGCTTTGGAATTTCATGGTTTGCTTGTGGAAAGAGGTGATTAATGCTAAGATGGGTTGTATAGTAGGTTATCTCAAAAAAAAACGGGTTGTATAGTAGGGGCTTGAGGACATCGAGGAACAACTAGAGTTATGGCACTGGCATTTAAAAGTGGATTCATAAGGATTGGAATTTTTATTGATTTTCTGTTGTTTAGACTTGATAATGGCCATGCATTGAGCTTCTAGGTGAACTGGTGTGGTATGGTGATAGACCACTCAAAGGTGGACCTTTGGTCAATGATAGTGTTCAGTAATGGTGCTAGCTCTTTCTTTTGGATCAATTTTTCAAACGAATCTTAATAATTGGGAGATTGACTACATGATTTCTCTTTTAGCCCCCCTAGATTCCTACCATTTTGATGGTGGTGCATGTGGTTGCCTTCTGTGGCCTTATACAAAGACTGGTTGTTGTCTGTCTTTGGTAGCAAGTGGTTTGTTATAGGTGGATTACAGGCATGGGATGGGAATGAGGTTGGCAAGTCTAGCAAAAAGCTTACTCCCTCATTCTGTTGGCTATCATTTGGCTAATTTGGATAAAAAGGAACAAGAGGGTCTTTTTATGGTACACTTTTCTTTTTGCAATTTGCTACACATCTTTTGTATTCAGGTTGCACCTTTTTGATGCATTGTTAGTATTTTTACGTAGCATTTTCCTCTAAAAAAACATCTGTTCTTATTTGTTAGAAGGACTTTAATGTTTTAAAATTTTGGGAGTACAGGAGAATAAATTTATAAATCGGAAGATTTAAAAGAAAATAAAATGTACAAAATTGGAATCTAAGAGTATAACTCTGACTATTTGAGATTGGGAGAGAAAGAAAGCTAAAGAAGAATGACTTTGCACTATAGAGAAGGATATCGAAGATAACACTAAGAATTGATGGAAGGCTGAAGGTATTTTGAAGAGATAATTAATATAGTTGTTAGTTGATAAGTTTTACTTTTTCTGTTCAAGTCTTTAATTTTCTCTTTTGAAATTTATAGCTCTTTTTTTGGGGGAAAATTGTAACAAATTAGTTCTGAGCTGTGTACATTAGAAGTGTTGGCTGTTAGACTTTTAATAGCTATCGCATAAGTTATTAGCTGTGTACATTGTATTATACCTGGAACTCATAGCATTAGTAATTGCATGTTTTGAGAATTGCAGTATATTAACTTTTTCCTTAGAAATTAGAACAGATTGATTATGTCCTTAAATTCTAACTTATTCTACTGTTTGAAATTGTTAAGCAATAAAATACAAGTATAATAAACTTTCTAGTTGTAAAAGGATCTGAACTCAATATTTCTCTTGAATGAGCATATATCAAAGTTCCAAACTACTACTTGTGATATAAATATTGAAACTAAAAAATGGTGCAATTGAATTTTGAACAGAAAATGATGTACCCAATTGTTTAGCCTACCCCCATTTGGACCCAAAATTAGTATCTATAGTATTTTCTGCCATGAACTGAATGAGCCGCGTACTAGGTAAATATGATGCATGTTTTTTCTCCAATTAAATGCTGAATGTTGAATCTTGAGGGTGTAGTTTATATTAATCTCTGATTACTTTTACATAGGACTCTTCTGCCAAGGTCTCCAATGAAAGGCTTCTAGTTAAACAATGAGGGTGTTTGAATTCCTTTTTTTGTAGTTAACAGTGTTTGTAAACATGCAAGAAAAGTGCTAAAAGCTAAGACAATTAAAATCCAAAAATAAGTTAGGTAATCTAAATATCTTTCAACCTAAAGCAAGCTCAAGCTTGTTAGGATTGAAAAATCAATGAGCTTAAAGCGCATAAGAAGAACTCAATTCAGACGGCCTCAATTAGTTGTTCAGTCAGTCTTGGTGAATAAACATGGATTTCCTATTAGAAAAACGTACTTTAGGGTTGGTTTTAGTTATGTGCAAAGGCCTTGTAAGAGCGTCTTTTGTGTTTGCCTTTTGAAGCAGGATAAACTTGTTACTACTTATAGAAGGAATTTATGCAAATGAAGCTTCTTATTTGTATAATTTTTTCCACTTCTTTTACGAGAATTTATAGAAAGTAATGTTAGAGCCTGCACTATCACATGTATGGTTATTTCTTGTACATGAGTTTTCTAATTTCATTTTTTGGCTTTTAAATGTTCATGTTTAACATGTCTCAATTAATTAACCAGTTTCTCTTTTCATATCAGGGTGGGGTTCTAAGGTCCTTGTCTGATATTGACGATCTTGCTAGTACTTTTACAAAGGTTAGTTCATTAGCCATTAAATATTTCTATTTAGAGACCTTATGCTCTGTTCTAGTTTTGTTGTTTAGAAACTGCTATAACTCGCAACTATTGAAGGTAGTCAAAGAAGTCTGTTATGTTCGTGTATAAAACATCTGTCTTATTTAGATTTGTGAATAGCTAAAACAATCCTGGTTTTGGTAATTGAGGATAATAAATGAGGAAAGAAATGTAGGCAGCTTGTTATGGGGCCTAGTGGTGGGACCAACTGGTGCATCAGGGGGAGCTTCCCCTTTGATGATCTCAAAACCATTCAGAATTTTCTTCACAAACAATATTGATCTGGAGGATGGCGAGACTGTGACCACATAATGGTAAAATTCCTAATAATTTGTAGGTTTGTCTTGTTCTTAGGTTGTGATATGGCTTGTCATCTTTGAAAGAATAGAAAAAAAAACCTGCAACACTTGGGAGTTTTGGGTTTGCCCTGATGTTAGAAAAATAAAGTTCTGTAGATATTTTTTTTTTTGGGCCGGGTTATGGGTTTTATTGGTTGGAACTAATAATCAATTCGTGACTTTCTTAGGGGGCTGGGGGCTGTGGAGCTTTTGTGGGGTTTCATTTTTTTGTCATGCAATTTTGCTTAGCATATTGAGCCAACAGTCATCATACTTTCTCACCTCGGAGTCCTTGCACTCATATCATAATAAATGGAGCTATGAAGTCTCCTCAACTTCCTCTCTCTATCTAATCTTTGTTTTTTATTCTTAGGAGATTTCAGAGTTTTTTTATTGCCCTTCTCTCCTCTTTTACCTCGATAGCATAAAACAACTCAGAAGCCTGATGCTCCAAGCCCTCAAGATTCGGATCCAGTAGCATACAAATTCTTTGGATATTGTTTTGGATCGATTGCTATCTTTTCTCGTGCCCAGCTTCCTTAATGCTACTGCGTCTTGAAGCACAAAACACACTTCAATTTGCTGAACAACCCCCAATCTGAACTCTCTCCCTTGAAAGTGGCTTTAATCTCACCTCTATCATCCACCATAGCCAACGATGGAATAGTATAAAAACCAAAACTTGAACCCAACAACAGAGAAAGCTGGAATACAGACACTACGGACAATTTGGACTGATGCTTCTCTGTCCAAAATAGCACTGGAAGAGCTTGCTAGTTGTAGCACACAAAGGCTTATTTTCGTCAAGTAGTTGCTCTCCTCTTGGTCATCAAAAGAACCCAATGAATAGATGAAGACCCTGTTGATATGAAAGGAGGTTCTTTGATCGCTAAGAACCCATTGAATTTCCCAGTTGTAGGCTTACTTCAGCTTGGGCTTCACAAGCATTATCTATTTCCCCTTTTCAAAAGTAGAGGCCTTCCATTTAGTTGAATTGAACTTATCTAGAAATGATCTAGCCTGTAGGCCTGGTCCAAAAGTAGGCTTATGATGAAAATTGAACTCAGGTTAACTTGGCTCTAAACCGGATCTCTTCTTCTGAGCCTGCATCTATGATGTTTGCAAAAGACAGACTTGAGGCATCATCCAAGTAGCAATAAGAGAAACATGGAGAACTGCCTTGGGTCCTAGGCATGGAAGCTTAGAAGTCTAGAAATTGCCGGAATGGTGCCAGGCTCCATGACCATGCTCCTTACACAAGCTTCAAATCCTTCATTCGGTGAAATTGCACAGACACCCTAAGCAACCAATTGACCTCCTCTTCAATAAAAACTATGGCTGAAAGAAAACCTTTCTCATCTATGATGCTAATGTTGTTGACTTTGTCTCCTACCAGCACAATTTTGGAAGACTTCTATGTAATGAATAAAAATATCCTAGAAGGAGAAACTGTCATGAGAATCTAAATACTGGTTAAAAGTTGGCCTTGCAGGGGAAGCAAACCAACTCTTCCCCAAAAGAAGTTGGGGAGGAAAGGGAGGGGGAGAGAGGAAGAGAGAGAGATAGGGAACAGATCCATTTACTTATAATTCAAGGTTTGAACTCGTGTAGTTATTTTTGAAGTGGTTATTTGCTTCTCTAGAATTGATTCTTGTCTTCACTCACTCCAATTGTTCCTTGGTTTACATTGTAGTACTGAATCAGTGTTGGATTTAAAAGCTGTATATTCTTACTCCATACTTGTTGAGAAATTTGAAGAAGTAACCTTTTAGCATCTTTGTTATGCCTAGCATTGGATCTTTGTGTCATAGACTTAAGATAATGTTTAAAAACTCTAGTATGAATGGTATATTCTGCCTGAGATGGATCTTAGCCAAGTTTTAAGGTGATTAATGCGTAGGTTTTTTTTTTTTTTTTGTGATAAAAATAATGTATATTAAGTATAAGGCCTCGAAGGGGTGTCATCGATGTACAAAATATTTACAATTCAGTTAGTACATCAATAATCTTCCCAAAATCATCCCACTCATAGAGATCATGACCCAACATTAGAGTCCCAACAATATGTATCCATTTATCTGTAGTTCTGAATAAATCCCCCATACATCCATCAAACACTCTATTGTTCATCTCTTCCAAACTACCCAAAAAATTGCTAGAGGTATAAGCTTTACAATTTTTGGTTTCTTAAATATCCCACCCCCAAAGTTCCTCCATAACCGACTGCACCATTACCCAGTTGATGCCAAGAAAGCTATAAACCATATTCCAAATATTATACACCATTGGACGCCATAAAGTAAGTGGTTGTAAGATTCTGCCGACTGCATATACATATAGCAAGCATTAACCATGATATTGTTCCTTCTTGTCAGTTTATCAATAGTTAAAATACATTCCTGACTCATTTCCCACACAAAAAACAATTCTTGGAGGAGCCCTCATTTTCCATATAAGTTGTGCCAGTACATTCTCTCCACTGCCCTTGGCTAAGCATTAGCCATGATCGATGCGTCGGTTTTAGATCATGTACTTCCAAAAGAGGGGATTATAGTTTCTTTATTGGTAATGCCTTTCTTAGCATCCAATATGTGGTCCCTTAGTTTTTTCCAACATCAGCTTATGGTATCAGCTTTATTCAATAGTCTTTCAGCCTCCATTGTTTATTCTATAGAGCGTGATCTATGAAAAATTAGGGTTGATTTG